GCGGTTGGGGGGGGGGAAGAGAGAGAGAGAGAGAAAGAAATTGATGAGAGACCCATCAATTCGTTGCCTCCTGGATGCACCCCAACCAGGGCTGGGGACTGAAACCTGCTTCTATGTGCATAAATATTTACAAATGCTATATCCTCTTGTTGAATTGGCCCCTTTATCATTATATAATGATCTTCTTTGTCTCTTATTACAGTCTGTCTTAAAGTCTAATTTGTTTTTGACCACCTTTTTGGTTTCCATTTGCATGGAATATATTTGTATCCCTTCACTTTTAGTCTGTGTGTGTCCTTATATCTGAAGTGAGTCTCTTTCAGGTAGCAGATCAGTTTTGTTTTTTATCCATTCAGCCACTCTGTCTTTTGATCAATAAGTATTTATTACCATGTCATTAATTGTTTCCTGGCCGTTTGTTGATTCCTTTTGTTCCTTTCTTCTCTTGCTTTTTCTGTTTGCTATTTATTTCCTTTAGTGGGTTACTTAGATTTCTTTCTCTTCTGTGTATCTACTATAGCTTTTCGCTTTGTTGGTTACCATGAGGCTAACATAAAACAACCTGTATATATAAAAATTGATATATATATATATTTTTTTGCCATAGCCCTTGGTCTGTGTTTTATTCATTTATTGCTGCATAACAAATTATCCCAAAACTTAGTGGCTGAAGACAAGAATTTTATTATTTTTCATAATTTTGGACTCATTTGAGCAATTTCCTTCTGCATGTGGTATTAGCTTGTGGAATTTTCCTCTCTCTGCTGATATCCACACCAGAACTCCAGAAAACTACCTTTCCTACTCTATTAGCAAAAGCCAAGGGTCAATTAGAAAGTTCAAAGGATGGTTTGGCTTGATTGGAGGGAGGGAGGTGACAGAAACCGCAGGCAGATGCAACTTGGTTGGGATGGGAGAACTGAAGACAAAATTGAATCTAGTGGCTTTAACTTCCATTTTAGCAATGACTGGGAGTTCTGCGGTGAATCAGGAGACATGAGTGTTATTGCTCAGAGATGTTTTTGATTTCTCAGGATAAGTTAAACCCATTTTCAAGTCATAACTCTAATATGGCATTTAACCAAGTTTCCTTGCTCTTTATTTCCTCTTATAAGGCTACTCCCAGTGCAGACTGCTGGGTCCTTCAAATCACCTTCACATACATACCTATGCATTTCAGGTAGAGAAAGACAAGAAAAATCTGAGCAGGATGCAGACTCTGATGGATAATCTTCAGCTAAAAGTGCAAAGTTACAAGCAGCAAATTGAGGCAGCGATAAGTGCCTGGGGCGATTGCAGCCTCATGGATTTCCCAGCAGTTGTTTTCGATTAATGGAGATGTGGGGACTGAGCTAGGTGAGTAGCTTGTCAGAGAAAAGCAGCTCAGCTTAAAGTCTGCTCATTCTCTGGTTTTCCTCAAGCTAGAATTATCACCTATGGTAAAATTTTGTGCTACTTTTCCCTCCAGGGAGCCGGAGCTCTCTCCCTCAATTTTGTGATTATACCTAAACATGTACATTGCAAGAAATGAGCCAAGTAAGAGCATGGCATTAAGTAGGGATGGCACATTTTTGGTTGGGTAATCACCCTAGGGCCTTCCTCACCCTAAAACCTTGAGTGAGCATAAATGCAATTCACAGTCCTTTTTCTGATGAGCCTGGACATGACTGTGCACAAAAAAATTATCACTTGAAATGTATCTGCCAACCTTGGGTTAGTATCCATAGCTACATGGAATGTAATTGATAAGTGCCATAGAAATTGGCTTACACCTAATCTCTCTTAAACTGATTATTTAAATGATTTGGGCAAAAACACTTATATCTATTACCCATTGACTAATATAATTGTAAAGACCTGCCCACTCTGAGAGGTAGAACAAGATGTTAACTGATGACAAACAACCAACCATGGTTGTTCTATCACACACCTAATCTGTGCGCATCGACTACATCCAGCTGGTGGAAAGTGCCGACCATGTTCTAAACTTACAGGGAAAAACCAGTTATAAAAATAGATCTCATGCCTGCTGGAAAGTCTGAATCCCTATATGTCATACAGAAAGATGATATTCCATTCAGTACACAGAAGTTTAGATTCCCTTCACACATTTTTCAACTTTCTCATGTCAGAACAGAAAAAATATGACTATGTAGGCACAGAGATTTCTTTTTCCCCCCTCATTTTTTATTTTTATAGGAAGCACAAGCCAATCAATATCTTTCCAAGTATAAGCAGCAGCAATGTGAGTTGAACGAAGCTAAGCAAAGGGCAGAGATAGCAGAATCTCAAGTCAATAAACTCAAGATTAAAGCAAGAGAGTTTGGAAAAAAAGGTATGTCAGATATTCAACTCTGTTCTAACTCTTAAAATATGTGTAGCTAGGGCTCATAGCATCACATGGACCAGTATAACAAGACATTTCTTATTTTTCTCTTTAAATGCTTTTAAAAAACAGTGACATCAAAAAACATAAAACCTTCCCATATTTACTAAATTCTACTGGTCCAGGTAGTAGGGAGTGCTAAGCATCTGAGTAGGATGCACACTCCAAAACAGGTATAAAGTATTAGACTTTGTCACAGTTATTTCCAACAGATTAAATGAGCAAAGCAGAAACTCCTTCTTCTGAGGGGCAAGCGTCCTTGGAAATGACTAATTGTTTCCCATTCACTGAAGGAAAGCCTGGANGCTTCTTCTGAGGGGCCAGAGATGAGTAGAAAAGCGTCCTTGGAAATGACTAATTGTTTCCCATTCACTGAAGGAAAGCCTGGAAATCTCTCAATTGTCATAAAGCAGAGGAAAAGGGTTTCTGATAGAATTGTGTGTCGGGTTGTGGAGCAGACTGGTGATGTGGCCACAGAGACTTTCCCTCGTGGGGTCTTCTGTAGAGGGCTCTGCCTTCACTGGCAAGGCCAGGTAGTTAGAAAATTGAGTGACTGAGCATGCCCTTGAGGTGAATTACTGGCGGGTGTCTGCTTTTTGTAATACAGGTAACTGCCCCAATTCTCTGCCTCCCTTTAAAGCTAATGAAGGGTTGGCTGAGGCCTGCTTACCTCTGGAAGGGACTGGGCTTGGTTCTGGGCAGTTCCACTGATGAAAATCACATGAATCTCACAGAACACACTGTTTTTCAGGTTCATGAAGCAGCAGCAATTCTTGCTTATGAAGGACAGTGGCTGGAGAAGTACAAGGAGGGTTTTATGGCCAGAAAGTTAAGTTGCATGGGAAACAAACAGTGAACAAAGTGATTAGAAAAATGTAATAATTAAAGAGGGAGTATCCTTGCTTCCAAGGTTAATGGGAATTTTTTGATCCTCAAATAGAAGCAAGCATTTCACATGAAAGATTAAATAGATGCAATGACCTTTTTAAATTCTGAAGTTAGCAAATGAATATTCGTTCTTTGTCCATGTTGCCTCTTAATGAGTGATATTCATTGGATAAATCTTTAGACCAGCAATAGTCCATGATGGCTGGAGCATGTTAGTAAATGGTTATTACTGAAGTTAGTGAACTTTGCTTGACTCATCTTTAATCTACATCTATATTTTTAGCCACTAATGGTGGGAGTTGATAAACTTTTCGCTAGCATTGTGATATATGTATAGTCACACTTAGGTACTTTGAACTTGTAGGTGAAACCTTCCTAATTGACACATGTAGGCCACATGCTGGTGCAGACTTTCAACACTGAAGCCACTTCTCACACATGGCGTTCAGTGATAGGTGGTGGTGGCTTTAGATTGTGCCAGTTTCTCTAAGCTGGAGGTACATTTCCCAGAATTCCGTTCTCTGTGTGGTTCTGGATTGGAGTTGAGCACAAGAGAAACGTGCACCAGATTTGAGAGGCCGAAGTGAAGGAGCAGCTGTTTACTGTATGTTCATAAGGTCCGTGTATGGCCCGACACTGTAATAACTGGCAAATACTGGCCCAGGCCCCAAACGGTGAGCTACCGGAGAGCAGCAGCAGCTCCCTGGCCCCACACTCTTCTAGCTATAGGGTTAAAAATTTGATTAAGTCACAAAAATCCTGGTTAGGCTTTTTTCTTTCTTATAAATTGATGATGAAAATTAAGGGGAATAGATCATCAAGTCAGCTGGGCTATTCATTCTCTCCTTGCATAAAAATTTATATAGAAACCTAAATTTATTAGAAACCTGATGAGCAAGCAATATGACAGCAGCCAGATGAGTGAATCAAATTCTCTTCAGAGCTGGGGTCACTCAGCTATGCAAACCTGGTGTTGGAAGCTATTACCCAGCTCCAGAGATGTCAGTTCTTGGGTTGGTAGGGCCCTTAGCAGCAGTCTTAGAGATCCTGAGATACTTACTCTTTGGGGTTTTAAGACTCAGCATACTAAATCTAGATGTTAAAACTGATATAACCATTCATATAAAACTAGAGTTTACCACCTTAGCAAATCAATTGCCTTGGTTTCCAGGCTCCGGTTTTTTCACTCAAGGTGACTTCTGTTCCTACCTGCCCTCTCACCCATCATTAGTTGATCAGATTTTGAATCGGTTCTTAGTGACACATTTCTTCCACATTCTTGGTGGAAATCTCACCGTAGCCTCCTGGGCTAGTTGCAGCAAGACTGTAAATGAATGAGACAGTTGTTTTCTAAGCTGGATTGGCATCCAGGCGGTCAGTGAATGATACTGGAAAGGAGAATGTTTACAAGTCTTTGCAACGGTAGAATTGTCTGGTCGTGGCAAGCCACTGTGGAATCCCAGTGAGGAAAGGGGAGATGAAGCCACTGGATATTAAGGATGCTTGGGATGTGTTGTCACAGGGCTGTTTTCATTTCCTGTACCTGCTAGCTGTTTAGAAAGAAGATAAACGGACTCTAAATGGCTGTTTTTAGGTCAGAATAATCATTTTTATCTTAAATATTTAATGATGGTAGTGTTTTGTTTTGGGGAAGGGGAGCTTTAAGCTATTGTTTGCATTTCTAATCAGAGGCCCATGACACAGTTATAAATTAAGTAGTTATGAAGTCTGGGTCTTATTGGTCAATTTTAATCTCCCTGCTAGATGTTCCTGAGTTTTTAACAAGTTTATGCCACTCTTGGCTCTTATTTATATTCTGATTAATGGAGCTCAGAAATAAAAGGTATGCAACAAAAAGGAAGTATACAATCAAACTATAACTCATAAGTGAATTATCAGTCCCCAAGGAACCTAGAAGTGGCTTGAAAACTATAAAAGGTCAGCAACCCGAGTCTGGGCAGAAACTGTAGTGTGCTTTTCTTTACTTTATCTTTCTGTATTTCTTCACACTTCTGTATAATCCTATGTTTCCACCAGAAGAAGCAGCGCCTGGGTGCACCCTCATATGTATAGTGCCATTCTCTACAAACAACAGTGGGAGAGGAGAAAAGCAATCACTTATTTAAACAAGGTGAGCCCGTTTAATTACAGACATTGGGAAAAGCCTAATTGTGTTTTTTTCTGTTATATTATCCAGCAACCCCTCCTACCTTGTTTTACTCTATAAAAAAATCTCTTGAATGACAATATGTGAATCAGTTAAAACTTCAATTACCTTTTTTACAGTAGTATTCTTATACTATAAATGGTTTGATAAAGAAAATGTCTTACTACGTTTTCTTCATTATCAGCATTGCTTGCCCTCTCATCAGAGACAGAACTCCTTTCTATAGGAAAAAAAGAGGACAAACTTAAAAAATCTTTATGAAACTCATTCTACCTTATTTCTACCTCAGTATACAGGGTCACCTCGGAGATCCTGCAGGTTTTGTTCCAGACCACCTCAAATAGCACAATAAAGTGAGTCACACAAACTTTTGGGTTTTCCTGGGCATATAAAGCTCTGTTTATACTATTCTGTAGTCTATTAGTGTGCAATAGCATTGTGTCTATAAAATAATGTACATAGCATTTTTTAGCAATATGCTATTTTTAAATTAAGCTATCACCTGAGCCTTTAAGCATGTTATAATCTTTATGCTGGTGAAGGGTCACACCCTAGTAACATCAAGGATCACAGATCACCATAACAGATATAACAATAATGAAAAAGTTTGAAATAGTGGAAGAATTACCAAAATGTGACACAGACATAAAGTGAGCAAATGCTGTTGGAAAAATGGCACCAATAGACCTGCTTGACACAGGGTTGCCACAAACCCTCCATTTGCAAAAAGCACAATATCTGCAAAGCACAATAAAATGAGGTATGCCTGTAATTATATTATTAGAGTCACCTTAGTTATTCCCCGTTTCATATCTTTTTCAACAAACAGTATTTAAAATGCATTCAGTGTAGAAATACCTCGTTAGAAACAAATAGCGGTAAATTCTAAGGCTCATTCAGGTGCTCCAAAGCAGTGATCAGCTCTTTAGGGTTGTTGGCCTGATTCCTACCAACTGTTAATGGAAAATAGCCAAGGAGGTGATGGCTGAAGCTGAGAGTGGTGGTTAAGGAAAAAGGAGTGCAATGCCATTTCTCAAGAAAGGTCTTTCTTCTGGGCCTTGCTAAAATCGAGTATCATTTACACTTATCCTAGACTAAGGGTATTTTAAAACAGAGTAATTGAAAAGGAATTTAAAAGGAAACATTTGAACCACGGTCATATAAAACTACAACCAGGGACCTGGAGGAAGGCAAGGTTTGTGGCTTTTAGTGTAACAGCTTGAAATATATTTTCAGCCCATCTAACTACAGAACTATAGAACTTTTTTTTAAAGTGGCCAATACCCTGACATTGTTTTTGCTGATATCTCCTGACCGCTCCTCCAGAATCAGTACCCATCCTGCTCTCCACTGTGGGAAGCTCACCTGGATGGGTTCCACCTACAGGGCGGCTCTTCCCTGACTTCCAGTTGGGGTGAGAGGAGGGAAGGAAGAGCAAAATTGGGTGTTTATTCTTCCCGCTTCCTCCTTTAGGGTCATTTGGTCTGGCTGTGAAGCTCGCCCTCCTTACAAAAAGCTGTTATGTGACTCTCTCCTCAGTTTTGGGAACTGCTCCCTTTCCTTGCCCCTTCAAGTTTAGTTTTGCTAGCGAGTCAGCCGCTCCCAGCTCTGGGGGAATGAATACTCCATCGTCCGCGCTCCCTTCTGTGCAGTTCTGAGTGTGCCAGGTGCTTTCTGTGAGGATCTGACCTCTGCCCACTTCCCATACAGAAATTGTCATTCTTGAGCACTATGAAGTGCTTCTCTTCTATAACTTGAACCTAATCCAAGCACAAGTATCATTACATTAGCCCAAGGGTTACATTTGTACGACAAACTAGATTGCCTGCGACGACCTCTTTTCTCTACTTCTGGCCAGCTCAGGAATGGGGGTAACAACTAAGGGCACTAGTCTGCCCATTAGCACAATCGCAGGGCTAGAAGTGGTAA